ACCCTCCAATCCATGGTTTCTTATCTTTTAAGGCCCAAAGAATCAGCTTTCCTGTCCATGTATGTCTCCCTTTCTCTGCTGCTCTCATGATTCCTCTCAGCATCTAGTATGTATGTGAAAAGAATCATGTGTGTAAAAAAAAGGCTTCCAGGGACTTCGCTGATGGTCCAGTGGTTAAGAATCCACCTTCCAGAGCGGGGGTTGTGGGTTTGATCTCTGGTCAGGGAATTAGGATCCCATGTGCTGTGGGGCAACTAAGTCATGAACCACACAGATGAAGCCTCCTTCTGGAGCCCACACCACAATTAAAGACACTCCTGTGAGCTGCAGTGGACGTTCTGAGTGCCAAACCGAGACCTGATGCAGCCGGAGAAAAAGGCTTCTTTCTTTTTTTTGCTATTGACAAAAGGGTCCCTCCTTGCACGTTTACTGAATGCTTATGACATGACACATCTGTGCTGGTAGCCAGATGTCCTAAGGGGATATTATTCCCATTTCATAGGGTTTCTTTTTTATAATGAGACTTTAGGGTATTAAGTTATTTGCTTGAGCTGGTAAGTTACAAGGATGGAATAAAAATTTGAGTCAGTCCTGTTTTCATCTTTCTGCAGAGACTCATGAGCTGAATGTGAACAAGTCATGATGAGTAGTTGAGGGGGATGAAAAGGGCTTCTTAGGTCTGGAGTTAACAGGACAAAGGAATTAGACTTAGTTACAGAGTCCGTGGGTGGTTGGGTCGGGGTGGAGTAGGTGGGCAAAGCGTTCAGGGCTGAGAACATGTGTGAAGGACGGGCCAAAGGGAGTATTCATGGGAGACCAGAGGGAAACGGGGCCCCAGAGGTGGGGCCGCAGAGGTGGGTAAGGGCCACTGCTATTCGACCTTCTATTCCCGTCCATGCTGCTGGCAGGTGGGACCTCAGTTCCCCCACCGGCCCGTCCCGCCCGCAGGGGAGGCTCCGGTCTGAACCCCTGGCCGCCAGGGGATTCCCGTGGCCTGTGTCTCGTGGGGACGCCTGCGTTTGGCCCGAGCATCGGCCAGAGGCTGTGTGCCAGGCTGCAGTGTTCTCCAAACAGCAAAGGAGAGATTTTAAGGTGAATGCAGGCTTTGCCCTTAGGAGGGAAGCAAGCCAAGCTGGGCCGCTCCTTCAGTGGGGCCGGAACTGGGACACCAGGCTGGGTTTCGGAAGCGAGCTGAGCACTAGGGTGGGGCGGAGAGCCGAGGGTAAGTGACGGGCCGGAGCCCGGGTCCGGGCACATCTGATGAATGGAGCTGGCAGGCGGGGGCTTGTTCACAATGACTGCAAGAAGCGAGATTGTCAACCAGCTATACTCTAACATAAAATGAAGATTAAATTAAACAAACAAAAAAATCAAATGTTAAAAAGAAAAAAAAGGAAGCAAGAGTAGCCTGTGTAGCTCACAGGCACAGGATCTGAAAGGAGAAGACAGTGAGGGTCTTAGGTGACCATATGAAGGGGCAGAGTCTTTAAAAAGATCTCTCAGCTCCCTTCTCAGAGCAAGTCGTCGGGGGTGGGGGTGGACGGAGGAAGTAGGAGTGATGGAGGCAGAATCAGTCAAGGGCATCTGCAGAGTTAATAGACTGGGAGCAGTAGGGGCTTCCCCGGCGGCTCAAACGGGAAAAAATCACCTGCAATACGGGGAACCTGGGTTTGATCCTTGGGTGGGGAAGACCCCTTGGAGGAGGGCATGGCAACCCACTCCAGTATTCTTGCCTGGAGAATCCCATGGACAGAGGAGCCTGGTGGGCTACAGTCCACAGGGTCACAAAGAGAGTCGGTCATGACTGAGCGACTCTGCACAGTATATCAGAGGGAGGGGTAGTGTGCCCTATCCCCCTGACCCCCGAATTTCACTAACCATGGAATGACACACCTTTAGGAGGAGGTCCGTTGGGTTTTCTGGAAGTCTCGTATTGTCTATAGGAAGGCTTCTGCAAGACATGTTTGGGGGATTTATGATTCCCTTCCTTTCACAAATATTCATCTGCTCATTCACTAATTATCTGTTGAGCACGTCACATTGTACTAGATACCACTCTGAGCACTGGGAACTGGGATCCAAGGCATCAATGTCCATGTCTGCCTAGAGATTGATTATAGTGAAGTAGATAGACCTGGGGCAAATTAACACAGAAGTTAAGGTATAAATTTGGAAAGTGAGCACCATGAGAGATGACAGAAAGCTCTGATAGGCGGAATGAGTGGAGAGGCCTCTTAAGGAACTGATACTTAAACTGAGATGTGATGGATGAACAGGAGTTAATCAAACAAAGCATGAGGAAAGAGTATTCTAGGCCAAGAGAATAATGTGTGCAAAATCTTTGAAGCAGGAAAGAACTTGGAATTTCAAGAGAAGTCAAGGTCAGAATATTGTTGGGATTTAGAGAGCAAAGCAGGGGCTGGAGAAGTAGAGAGGGGCTTCAGAGCCCGTGTTGGGGATCTCAGACCTTATCTTCTCATTCAGGGGAAGCCACTGGGGGGGGAGCCCGTGCCGGGGATCTCAGACCTTATCTTCTCATTCAGGGGAAGCCAGTGGGGGGGAACGATGTTGTATCTCTGAGTACTGTGTGGAGAATGGATTGGAGAGGTGAAAGTGGGAAGATAACTCAGAGGCTACTGAAAAAGTCCATGCAGGATACGACTACATCCAGAAAGAGAAGGGGCAGGATCAATGAGGAGATGAGAGCAGATGTGGGGAAGACTCCACAGAACTTCATGATATACTTTAATCTCTGAAAGTGAAGCAATTCTTCAAAATGACGTGGGATGTGGAGGCTCTGTAACTGTGAACTTTGCTTTGATGTCAAAGTCTCAGTGAAGATGCTGAAAGTGTTCATATTTTCCCCAACATCCACCAAGAGAGAAAACAGGTGATGTGTCTTCTCTTGATGATCCCAGCACGTCAGTGCATCAGCTCATGAGCAGTTAAATCTGGAGGGTTGTGTGCTGTACTAATGTTCCCTTAGTTTGGGTCATTAATCTCTCGTCTGCTCCAGTTGTATTTGTTTGTATAAGACTGCAGGCTGGATGAATTTCACTAGATATGCATCTCCTTGCTGCGAAGGTCACAGAAGGACACCAGGGATGCTGTGTGAGCTGATATTAAGACAAGACACACGTCACAGGGCAGCCAGGGTCTGTACTCCTCCAGGATTGCTTGATATTACATGAATCTGCTTGTGTTTTCAGAAGAGCATCTCCTTAGGAAAAAACTCTTCCTACTTGGCCAAGTAGCCCGCTAATATGTATTTGAAAATTTAACTAATAATAACTTAGTAATTTGGTCTACCCTGATGTCTCACATGGTAAAGAATCTGCCTGCAATGCAGGAGACCAGGGTTTGATCCCTGGGTTGGGAAGATCCCCTGGAGAAGGGAATGGCCACTCACTCCAGTATTGTGGCCTGGAGAATTCCACGGGCACAGGAGTCTGGGGGGCTACAGTCCATCGGCTCACAAAGAGTCAGACACGCCGGAGTGACTAACACTTCCACTTTTTTCAGCTTAGTAATACAAATATAGAGACGGTCTTAGATTTCAAAGGATCTAAAAGTGAGGATATAGAAGAGAAATCGAGAAGAATTTCAGCTTGTTAAATCTGGACAGAAAAGTCTCATGGGTGAAGTCATCAGTATAAAGTGTGTTCTGTTGAGGCTGTATTTTTGAGACTATAAGAAAAGTACAAACCAACAATAACAAAAATACATTTCCTCCCTTCTCATCTCTTGCCTCCCCACCTACAATCCTGGAAAGTATTTCAAAGGGAAGAACCGAGGACAAACCTAGCTTTCTTCCTCTTTCCTGTGCCTTCCTCCTTTACTTGCTCAGAGAATCGTAGAGGAGTGGGTCTGTGGGAGTCTCTCTGGACACATGACATGGGATAACATTGCTCTTCATTCAGAGTGTTGGGATGGGAGCAGAGGGAAGTGAGAGGAGCTCTTAAAAACTAGGGAAGATAAATATCTTAGGCTTTTCATTTTTAAAACACTTTATTGATTTGCTTTGTTGATCTGATTGGCTTTGGCTGTGCTGGGTCTTCGCCGCTGTGTGTGCGCTTTCTCTCGTCATGGCTCCCGGGCCCTGGAGCCTGAACTCAGTAGTTGAGGCACGCGGGCTTAGTTGCCCTGAGCCATGTGGGGTCTTCCCAGAGCAGGCATGAAACCCACGTCACCTGCAGCGGCACGTGAATTCTTAGGTACTGGACCACCGGGGAAGTCCTGCCTTTTTCTTTTGAGACTGGAGTCAAGGGCCTGGAACCAGGACACCAAAATGAGCACATCAGAATGAGGAGCAGGACCCCAGGGGACCTTAAATGTCCTTAAAAGATAGAGAGGACCTGGGTTTTGAGGTCTTTTTCCTGAGAGTTCAGAATACACAAGGAACTGAGACACTTCCTTGGTGCTCAGACGGTAAAGCGTCTGCCTGCAATGCAGGAAAATGGAGTTCGATCCCTGGGTCGGGAAGATCCCCTGGAGAAGGAAATGACAACCCACTCCAGCACTCTTGCCTGGAAAATCCCATGGACAGAGGAGCCTGGTAGACTACAGTCCATGGGGTCGCAAAGAATCGGACACGACTGAGCGACTTCACTTCAAGAGAGATTAAAGAAGGAGAATGGGAGGTGGAGCCGCGAAGAAGCAAGTGACATTCCAGTGGGAAGACGTCCGTGTTCCTCGGTCCTCAGGGATCTGAATTGTTCTAACTGCCTGATGAAGGGGCTCAATCGGCCTCCCATTAGGTATCTTTGCCTACAGCTAGAAATCAAGATACTGGTTGTATTGCCAGCAGATAATGGAGAGCTTAATTGAGCTGATATTATAGTACAGCTTATTGTTAGTGAAGCATTTAGGGCCTTCTGGATCACTTTTTAAGAAACAGCAGCCCTTTCCTGCTCAGTGTGGTGCAAGAGGAGAGTCTAGTCTTTCCAGCTGAGATTTACCAGCTGTGTGAATTTGAATAAGTTCCTGCTAGAATATAAGTTCCCATTAGCCGAGGTTCGCTGACAAGCCAGCCTGTAGTAGGCACTCAATAAGAACTCCCTAAGTGAGTGAAGTCATATATGGTTCTGAACCTTGGTTTCCTCGTATGAAAGAAGGAAATGTAATACTTCAAAAAGCTGTCATGGAGATAGGAATTGATGTTTTGTAAAATACCTAAGCAGAGAAGACAGTCTGAATTAGAGAAGACTTTGGAATAACTTCAGTGGTATTGCTGTCTTCAGGTGAGATTTGTTTTCGTTCCCTCTGTATCTCTTTTAAGTTTTATATTTTGGCTTGCTTTTACCAATTTGCTCATGAACCTTTTGTCCCTCTCTCCTGGTAGATTTTAGCTCTGTTGCAGAACACAGGCAATTCTTCACTTAAAACTATCAACGAGAGAGTAGAATCCTATCACATATGCTGCCATTGGGCAACTTCTTAATGATGTGCTAAAAGAATATTTATGTATGAAGATAGCATGTTTCTCTTTGGGGGACTTTTAACTCATCTAAACAGATGCTTTTGGACAAACAAGATCTTTCAGCCAAGTCCTTTTATTTCCGTGACGGCCTCTCCGCGTAGTTTCTATTTTCTGGCCATGATAAGTTCTCAGTTCTTGAATAAACCACATTCTTTCTCGACCTCCAGCCCTCACATGTCTGTTTCCTCTGCCAAGACTTCCCATCACTGCACCCTGTCCTGCAGGTCTCATTTTAAATGTCCTGTCCTCAATGCCTTTTCTAGTCTCTCGTCATATTATCCCATAATATCTGTGCTTCCCCTTTTATAATACCTGTCATTATTCCATGACTTTTCCACTCTTCTGTGAANGTCTCAGGCTCTCAGCACTGACTGACGCGAGGCTCTACAGAAAGGGAAGGCTGGGGCAAAATTGTCAGCTTCCTGACATGCCCCGACAGACACAGAGACCTTTAGCAAAGCTGGGAACGCTTCTTAGCTCCAGTCACTTAAGTTTTCAGAGGTCCAGTCATTAGCTGGCCACGGAGCTAACTAAGCAAAGACTTCACCGGCCAAGCATGAAAATAATATAGACTTTAGACATTTTTTTCAGGAAAGTTGGTAAATAAACAACAGGAAACCCTGAGCAGGGGACAGCCTTTGGTTTCCAGAGCTACCACAATATATTATTTTAAACGTCTAGTTTTCAGCAAAAATTATAGACTTTCAAAGAAAAAAGAAAGTACTACCCATAGATAGGGGAAAAATCAATAGAAATTATCCCTGAAAAAGCTCAGACATTGGATTTACTTGAGACTTTAAATATATTCAGAGAACTGTTGAGAATCAAATCTAAAGAACTAAAGAAAAATAGGAGAATGACATTTCACCAAGTAGAAAATATCCGGAAGTTCTGGATTTTAAAAGTATAATAACTGAAATGAAAAATTCACTAGAGGGACTCAATGGCAAATTTGAGCAGGTAGAAGAAAAAGAATCAGCAAACTTGGAGATACTTCAATTGAGATTATCCAGTTTGAGGAAGAGAAAGAAAAAAAGAATGAAGGAAAATGATCAGAGCCTCAGAGCCCTGGGGGACATCATCGAGTATACATATTTATAATGGAAACCCTGCAAGGAGAGGCAAGAAAAAGGAGCAGAAGGAATACTTGATGAAATCTCTGTAACTCTTCAAATTTGATGAAAAGTCTATAGCAGATGATAGCTTGAGAACTGAAGAGCTTTTGGTTTGCAAGATTCGCAGTTTGGGGGAAGAAAAGCCTATTTTTATTTAGGGCATGTCATTAACACAGGGAACAGGAAGCATCATGACATCAGAGGCCAGACAGAGAGTATATAAGACCCCTTTCTGGACTAGGTGGGGGGCTCAGAACATTGAGAGAGGATGCTAGAGCTGAGATGTTAGAATGGAGTCTTGCCTTTACACCTTTTCTCTGGAAATGAAAATTCTGGTTGGATGTGGATGGAAATCTCAGAGGGATTCCTCAATCCATCCGGAGCTCTGGGAAATGTGCCCTGGGCTGATGTGTGGGTCACAACAGTGAAGAAAAGGAAGTGCAGTATGTTTAGGGGGAGAGGATGTGAAGTTGGTCTGTTTATCCTCTCCCTATCTGTATCCCTCAGTCCATGGGGCTGGGACAGATCTGATGAGAATTTTTCTTGTCTTCCTGGGACCCTGAAAGAGATTCATAAACGAGGGTGGATGTGTCCATCAGAGTCTCCATGATGCATAACAAGGGGACCCAGAGAAGAAGTCACAGGAAAACAGTCCAGCCAAGGAGCAAACGGATGGGATGAGAGACGTGGCAAAGGATCGCAAGGCAATTGGCAGCTGCTGTGAGAGAGACCACCGCGTTCCCAGGTTGTCCTGGAGCACCACAGCGGCAAACGGGACAGATTACTCCAGCTCGGCTGTGGCCGTGATCACAGGAGGCTGATGCTCAAGACCTGGTGAAAATAAGTCACACCTCGGGAAGGCCAGAGACGACACGTGGACCAGTGTCCTTCCTGTGATGCCAGACTGATACGGAATTCCCCTGGAACATCGATTATTCTGGGAAGAAGAGAAGAAGGAAAAGGGAAAGGAAGAGAATCTTAAGAGACTACCTTATGAGGTGAAAATGACTCAAGTCTTTAGAGTTGGCACAGCTAAGTATTCTGCTCTCTGAAGAGGTGGGATCTTGAGAGCTAAATTTAATTTCAGCCACAGACAAAGAAAATTCTATCCCTGAACATCTGGACTCTTGTACTGTGAAGATTTTTTCTCACGGTACCTATTTGGATTACTCCTCTTCTAATTCCCTATTGCCTGTATTTTGTGTTATGTGCGCATTCAGTTGTGCAAATTACAAACTCTGCAAAAAGAGAAGGAGGGACATGTTTTGATCACTGTGTGAGGGTTCACCCACCATTCCACTCAGTGAGTGTATGGCCCTCCTGAACGCGAGCTGACATGTGAGAATAAGCCATTCCCTAGCCCTGATCAATTCCTGAGGGCTTCACATGGAGTGAAAATCTCACCAAACTGAACGTGATTCTATTGCTGAAGATTCTATCATCTTTGAAAGTCCAAAATGCATGTTAGCAGCTTCATCTGGTGCTCGGCTCAAGAGACAGCAATCTATTCCAGCGGTGGAGCAAACAGTGTCTCTATGGAATTTAGGTAAGAAGAGTAAGTGAGTGTGTTTCCGGAGAGCGGATGTGCAAGAGTTTTTTTGCTTATCCTCTCCCTGTCCGTGTCCCTTCCTATCCTTGTATCCCTGCAAGAGTGTGATAGTCTCCAACATGGAGCTTTTCTGAGGATCATCAAGAGAATTTCCTGACATGCGCTTTTCTCTGAATGTGTTAGCATTTGGGGAGGATCCCTAGGTGGCTCAGGGGTGAAGAATCCATCTGCCAATGCAAGACACACAGGAGATGCAGGTTCGATCCCTGGGTTGGGAAGATCCCCTCGGGGAGCAGATGGCGACACACTCCAGTGTTCTTGCCTGGAAAATCCCACGGAGAAAGGAGCCTGGCCGGCTGCAGTCCATGGGGTCACGAAAGAGTCAGGCATGACTGAGCAAGGACATATGTGAACACTTGGACCTATGTTCAAAGTAAGGTAAGACTTCATTTGAGATTCAAGTTTTTGGCTGAATCTCCAGAGGACAGCTTCAGACCCACGCCTTTAAAGAATTTACAGTGGCTTTATGTTTGTAGGTTAATTTTTCTTCAATAACTTACCAGATCAAGTTAAATTAATATTTACCTTTCTCAAAATGTTGGGATGATCACTCTAAATTAAGTTCAGATGTGGTAGTTTAATATCTTCTTGTAACAAAGTCCTAATGTTTGAGGAAAAAGATTGCCTTGTGGATTTAGTTTCATATATACTGGGGTCTCTCAAAGATGAACAAACATTTGGAGGCAACTGGAATTCCACACTGAGTTAAAGCATTCAGCTGGCTGAACACAGCTGCCAAGGCCGTGGGCTACGATCCTGAACGGGGCCATTGGCAGTGGAGCCCTGCTTCTAAGTCTGAACAGACCGTGGGGTATACCTGGGCATTTCCCCTTCTTCTATGGGTCAAGAAGGGGAATTCAGCATTGACCTTGTTTCAGGGGGAGGTGTTTAGGAAGACCTTGTTTCAAACTCAATTTTTATTAAAAAAAAAAACAAAACACATGCACATAATTTTAAAAGTATTACTGAATTCCATCTCTCTGCATCTCCTAATCCTCTTTTCTAAAAAAAATAAAAACTTTCAAAAACCTTCAAAAATGCATAAAAAAGCTAGCAATTTTCTGGTATTTATGTATTTCTGAATAATACTGTTATTACTTTTTTCAGCTTTAGAGCTTATCTATAGACTTCCTACTATGAAAATAAGGATTTAGGGACTTTCTTGGCAGCCCAGTGGTTAAGACTCCTGCTTTCAATGCAGGGGGCACAGGTTTGATCCCTGGACAGGGAACTAGAATCCCACATGCCATGTGGTGTGGCCAAAAAAATTGAAATAAAATTAAATGAGGATTTAGCTTTCTTACCACTACATGTATGGGCTCCATAAAGAGCCACAGGTATAGAGTGGTTATGAGATCTTGGTCTCCTCTGTTTCGTAGTTCAGGGGAAATAGCTGCTGCCCAAATGCCACAGCCTGGAAATGAGGGTAGGATAAGGGTGGAGTCAATATTTCAACCTCTTCTGCCCTCTGATTTCTTGATGTAGATACCGTAGCAGTTGGAGACCCCTCACTAGCTGAACACAACTAGAAGCCAGAAGACGAATAACATCAATGGAGATGATGGTATTCCGGAATGGTTGAGGTCAGATGGTGGTACTTGATTGTCCAAGGAGAAAGGGCACTTCACACCAAGGACCCAAGCTTGTAGACCCATGCAGTCTACAGTCGGCTGTGAAACCCAAGATGGAGAGAGAGCAGAGAAAAGCTAGCACTTATGATTGTTTCTTTTCCCTGAAGTTAGTAACGGCCTCCCTTGTGTTTGTTTCTGCTTGTTTGCAAAGTACTATTGACTTAAAAAATGATATTTTTGCCTTGATTCCAATAAGACTAAGAACTTTTCATCTAGAGACAATCCTAAAATAACAGGGTCTGTCTGGTTCTGGTCCCTCAAATAATAAAATCTTGAATATTTCTTGTAAACCTGGACTCCCTAGAAAAGCAGTTTTGTCTTTGATGTTTACTATGTGGATGCCTAAAGATGAGTCATGACCTTTATAAAGGAGATAATGATGTGAGAAAATTATTTTTTCCATCAT